CATTGGAATCTCGAGCTCTTCTTTAGCGTTTTGAACAGAGGACTGCTTTTCTCGGCAACTTTGGCAATGAATCTGCTTAAGCCAGCTATTCGACCAGTTAAGATTTGAACCTCCTTCACGCTGGACGGTGGCTTCATCTCGATGACAGCCCGCACCTTCTCTGGGTTCACCTCTATTCCCCGCTTAGTCACCATATAACCCAGAAATTTCCCTGCTTTCACTCCAAACGAGCATTTAGCTGGGTTGAGCTTCATGCCATACCTTCTCAGAGTTTGGAAAGTTTGTCTCAAATCACTCGTGTGGTCCGCCTCCTCTTTGCTCTTAACCAACATGTCATCTACGTACACCTCCATGTTCCTTCCCAACTGGTCTTTGAATATCTGGTCGACCAACCTTTGATAGGTTGCCCCGGCGTTCTTTAGCCCAAACGGCATCACCACATAACAATAGGTGCCTTTGCTTGTGATAAAACTTACTCTCTTCCAATCGTCCTTTGCCAGAGGGATCTGGTGATAGCCTTGCGAGGCGTCCATCAAACTGAGGAGTTCACACCCTGCCGTAGAGTCTACTAATTGGTCGATCCGCGGCAATGGGTACAGATCCTTCGGGCATGCCTTGTTAAGGTCGCGGAAATCAATGCACATCCTCCACTTCCCTCCTGATTTGGATACCATGACCGTGTTCGACAGCCATTCAGGAAATTGGATCCTCTTTATATGTCCGGCGTCTAAGAGCTTCTCGACCTCTTGCTCTATTATCCTGTCCATCTCCGCTCCATGATGCCTCCTCTTTTGCTTCACCGGCTTTACGGTAAGATCGATGTTCAAACGATGCTCGATTACGGCAGCCTCGATCCCGGTTAACTCCCCCGCTGTATATGCGAAGATATCTGCAAATTCCCTGATCAAGTCGATCAATCTCGATCTGATCGGCTCGCCTAGTTCTTTTCCAATTCTGAACTTTCGATCATCCTTCCCTTCCACCATCTGGATCTCCTCAACTTCGCCTCCCGGTTGCATATCCATTTTCTCTTTTCCCCTGCTTTGCCATCCTTTCTCCTCCTTTGACCTCGACCCTCCTGGTCGATCGGGTCCATCTTCCCCCTTCTTCTCCTGTCTCCTCGCCATTTGCTTGTTATTGCTAACGGTGGTCTGATAGCAACTCCTCGACGTAAGTTGGTCTCCAGCAACCTCGCCCACATTTTCGCCCACCGGATATTTAATCGTCATGTGGTATGTAGACACGA